TATTTTTTTCTTTTTAAGGTAAACCTATTGCAACTTCTGTTCCTGTAATTCATTATCATGCTAGTGATGATGAATTAGAAGAAATATATCCTAGTACTGACGAAGAAAAACAATTAACACCGGAACATGAAAAAAGTTCGTCTAAAGTGATCTCTACCCCATCAAAGTGTGCTCATGAATCGGATATTTCTGAAAATAATTCAGAATCTCGGTCCATCAGTACGGAAAATATTTTACTAGAAGGTACACCACCGTCTCTTGATCCATGGAAAGTATTATCAGAAATTAAAGGAAAAATAACCAAGACGTTTGAGGAAAAATTATCTGAAATAAAAAGTGATAAAAAAAAACGACGTCATTCTAAGGGAGAATCTTCAAGTATTAGTGATTTAGAAGATCAGGGATGTATTACACCTTGTGATGAAAAAATAAATGACATTCATCGAAGAAGTAATCCAACTAAATATGTAGGTTTTTCTGGAATTAAGACTGGTTTGAAAGACAAGAGTTTACAGGATGAAAGTGTAGAAAGTGGTATCGAGGCTTCTGAATTTTCTCAAAACGTTAATGAAAATACTGTATTTTCTTCAAAGAGTGATTTATCGAATATAAAAACATCTAATATTGATAACTATACCACTTTTCCGCAACAGACGCAATATGCATCCACGGTAACATTTTCAAAACGAGTAAATTTCAAAACTTTGTTTTCACAATTGATCAAACAACTGATTCGTCAAGCAACGTATAAATCTGTTGCAGTTTTTATTGCCATTTCTTGCATTTATTATATTATTCCGTTAGCAGAATATTTATTGGGATTTGTAATGGGTATCTTTATGACTATTATTTTTTATGACATAGTAACAAAATTCAAGAAGATTTTAACCACTTTGCCGGATGAAACATATCCTTCTAGTCTACCGATACCTGTTTTGGAAATCCCAGCTGTAGAAGAACATGCTGTGATTGAAAGATATCAAGGTTGGTTAAATGAATTGCCCTGTAATTATGAACCGAATAATTATCATGTGGCACGCACAAAATCGGTGTTCTTCAGATTAGAGGGAAATATTTTGCGCATTATGGAAACTAGGATGAAAATACCAAAGAAAGCTGTCTGGGATGAACCTAACCATAAATTAAAATTTGTCAGAAAAAGAGTTTATAATTTAACTGGGGCAAAAATAGAACTTCTTCCCTATGGATTAGCTAGAAGAAGAAGATGGAGTAAAAAATATCCAATTTGTATAGTTCTTAAAAAGGAAGATTTAATTTGTAATGTAACATTGAAGAATACAACTGATGATGAGTGTTCAATGAATAATTATCATGGTAAAATGAATCTAAAAAGAAAGATGAAATATAAATCGGATAAAAAATGGGATGGAGAAATACAGGATGCGGATGAAATTTTATTTGTTAATATGGAGAATGAAGAACCAATTATAAAACAAGATGTTTGTGAGATTGAAGATGTAGAAAATACTGATGAAGATGACAATGATAGTAAAAATTACAATTATGACTTAACTAATGATTATATTGACAATGAATGCGTAAAATATGAAGAATATTTTATGGAGAGAAAAAAGAAAGAAGAATATATGGAAGAAAAAGAGAAACGAAAAAAAGGAAGATATTCTAAGGAGCAACAAAAAAGGGATGATAAAGAAAAACAAGATGTAAATAAAATTTATGTTTGTACAAATAGAAAAAAAAAGAAACGTAGAGAAACGCTAAATGAAATGAAAATTTGTAAAAGATCAACAATGAAAAGATGGAAAATGAGAGATGATTGGGAAGAAGGAAAGCAAAATAGAAGAAAAGAACAACAAAAGAATATACGGAAAGAGAAAAAAGAGAAGAATGAGATACAAGAAGGGGAAGAAGAAGAAGAGGAGGAGGAAGAGGAGGAGGAGGACGAAGAGGAAGAAGAGGAAGAAGAGGAACAAGAAGAGGAACGAGAAGAGGAAGAGGAAGAGGAAGAAGAAGAAGAGGAAATAATGAAAATAAACCTAGAAGAAAAAAAGGAAAATGAAGATGAAAGAGATAGAAAAGTGATTGAGATAGAGAATGGAAAAAGAGAAATAGAAGAGAAAAAAAAAGAGATACAAATGATAATTGATGATAATGATAATAAGAAGAATTATAATGGCTATGATCATAATGAATTGTGCAGAGAAAGAAAAAGAAATGATAGAAAAAAGAAGAAAAAGGGAAAAGATGAAGGGGAGAAAAAAGATTATGAGGAACAGGAGGAAGAGAGAGAAATGGAAGAGGAAGAGGAATTTTACAACATTGATAAAAAAAAAAATGAAATAAAAGTATTTATTTTTGCTAGAACTGATCGTGAAAAAGAAGATTGGTATAGACGTTTAGTTTCTGCTGCATCGAGATATGTTAAAAAAAAGGATTCGTTATTATTTACTCTCGATACATTAAGTACTATACCTAGTGTTCATACAACACTACAAAAAATCAGTACTGCAGAATCAAAAAATTCTCTTTCAACTAGCAATTCGCATGAAACTGTACCTGAGTTAAATTATAATGCTTATATGGCAAAATATTTGGATAGTAATTGTTCACCTATATCGGAAGATAAAATTTCCATGTCTGCTGAAAACACGCTTTGGATTAATTGTTTAATAGCTCGTATACTTTTTGATATACGCAAGTGTCCTGAAACTATACATCTTATACAGGATAAAATACAACGCAAATTATCCAATATAAAATTACCATATTTTATGGAGTGCCTTTTAGTTTCAGAGATAACAATAGGACAAGGAGCTCCTATTATTCATAATATAACAAAACCAATGATTAACGAAAGAGGTCTCTGGCTTAATTTAGATATAACATATAAAGGATCTTTGACCATGACTGTTGAAACAAAATTGAATTTAATGAAATTAACAAGAACTGGATCGGTTCCAGATGATACACGCATAATTATTTCAACAAAAGCAAACGAATTATCGGCAACTAAATCACCGATTTTTGATAGTGAACTAGAAGATACTCCGGAAACGTCTACAGAAGATGATTATGATACTTCCAAACCACAGTCGTATAATACAATTAAAGAAACAACGTAAGCAACAATAGTAACATCTCATTTTGTTATTTCGTTCTTTAGTCATAATAATTCATTTGATTTTCCTCTTTTATTTATATATTTTTCTTAAAGGTCTTCACAATCTTCCGGGAAAAAGTTCCTCAATATGGTGGATAGAATAGCAGCGAATAAATATTTTCAACATGTAAGTATATAATAATTTCTTACAATTAATATTAATACTTAAATTGATCTGTAAATATTAATATTTGTTTTTCATATTCTTCAATTTTTCTTAGGCAACCGAGTTATCCTACGTTCGAAGAGCTATGGAAGGTGTTTCGAATATGGAGATTCGTTTGATGGTTACTGTTTCAAGTATTGAAGGTTGTGTATCGATAAACATTCCACCGGCACCATCCGATCGTTTGTGGTATGGTTTTAAACCCGTACCGAAAGTTAATCTCACCGTAAAACCAGCTGTAGGGGAGAGAACAGTTAATATTGTTTATATAACAAAATGGATAGAAACAAAATTACTCAGGGAATTTGAAAAATTGGTTGTTTTACCAAATATGGATGATCTCATTTTACCATTATGTCCTAATTATCCTTATACGACAATGCAGTAGTAACAAACGAAAAGTATTGACTGTTGTATCGTATTGAATGTAATCCGTCGATAAGTGATCTATTTGTAAATCTTCATCAGATTTATAATTATAGATTTGATTAGTAAATGATAAATATATAATCGTGATGAAATTTCGCGCGTTTATGCTCCAAATGTATGATAGTAGATTGTGATCATAATATATCCTTATATGTACATTATAGCTTCAAGAAAAATTTTATGACAAAAAAGCCAGGATGAAATTGAAAAAAGTTCAAAAAATGCTTATATAAATTTCATATATATATAATAATAACGAATGAAAATTTAAAAACAAATTAATATATAACTAAAGTTAAGCATCAGATATATTTGTCAATTTTTTAATCAATTCTTATTTATTAAATATTGTTTCTTACTGTCAATATCGTTTCATAATTTTTTAATTTAACAAATTTTTTTCAGTATGTCAATTATTGATAATTTTCTTGGGACCATGCATTATTTATTTATTGTTGCGATAATGTACAAAAATTTATATTATATTTTTATAAAAACAAAAAATTCATTGCATGGAAAAAAGCCACTAATCGTTATTTATATTTATCGTTATACATATTTATCAATATATTTGTAATAGTATTAATAGTAGTAACAGAAATAGTACTAGTATTAGTAGAAATAGTAGTATTACTATTTCTAGCGCTATTATTACTACTACTACTATTACTATTAATAATAATAATTGTAATTATAATTTATTAATAACAAAAATGATTATTTTGAAGATATAATATTTAAAAACTGATATAATCCAGTATAAATATATATCGTTACAGTGTCGTAAAATAAATAAATTGTGAATTTCACAAACAATACAATTCCAAAATATTAAACAATTTTTAATATTTAAAACAATTAAAGTGTATATTTTTCTATTTCAAATTTAGCATTATAATTGTCAATTTTGTATACACTTCAAATTATAATTTAATGATATTTTTTGTGTTTGAATAATATGATGTGATCTTTAAAGAAATATTTTAAAGATGTATAATACGAATGAATTTACCTAAGTTAAAATTCTAATTTTATATGCAATTAAAACTCTAATATATATATATAAAACAAATGTAAACTAGAATCGTATATATTATATGCGTATATATAATCGTTTAACTTTCCAAATCGCTTATGACTAAATGAAGTATGCATTATATTAAATTTTTAATAAATTATATAATTAATGATGACAATTGAATCTATTCAAAATTATAGATATAAAATTATGACAAGGATAGATGGAAATTATCAATTATGTAATTATGTTGCTAAAAAATTGTGTATTTTTTACAAAAAATTTCCACAAAACAATATCACAGTTTGGAGATCGATATTCATATCATTCAGAATAAGGAAATAAATTATTTACAAGTATTTCGTTAAATGAATATACTAACTTCGAAGAACACACGGTGCACTTTCTAATTCGCGGACTGTTTTAGCCCATGTTTCTATTCTCGGTGCACAAACCAAAACAAGATCACCGAGTCTTCGTTTAGCCATTATCACAAACTCGCCCTGACCATGGCGTGCGTCACAAGCAGCTGATACTCTTATATGAACATTTCTGTGATCATGGAAATCAGTGGCATCTGCATCGTTATTCTGTTTCAAAGTAAATGACGAATTAATTCATAAACAAATATAAACAAATGAACCTATCTTTATTTAATTTTTTTGTATACGTTGAATTATATGTATACGTAAAAAATAAATTATAAAGGGAAATTTCGAATATAAAAAGATTATTTCAAATAATTATAATAAACTTCATTTTATCATATAATAATTTTTTAAAATTCATTCGCAATATTTATGTATTTGTTTGAACAAAAATCTTTCGAAAAGCTATATTTCATATAATATTTTTTTGATTTTCTATGAAACATTATTTAAACACGTTTAATGAAAAATATATACATGTATAATCTTTAATTTTATAAAAGTTTAATTTTATAAAGTATCATGGAGTATATTATAATAATATAAATTATAGTAATAAATATAATTACATTATTGTATATAGAATATAATTAGAATTGAATAAGCAATTAAAGAGCAAGGAAGAAAACCTTACCTCGTTTTCTTCAATTCGACGCAAAATTTTTGTTACTCTAAGGATAAGTTCAGCAGCTTCCAAATTTGGTTGTTTTTGAACGGCACTCACTGTACCTCTAGCTATGAAGTCGCTTTGACAATAAGCTTTAGCTAATTCATCCATAGAACATGGCCTACAATCTTCTTCCTCATCGTTAAATCGTCGTGATATTTCTTTTCGACTATCAATATATCGTAATTCCAAATCGTATTGTAGCCTCGCATCATGATATTCACTCGATTCTTCTGCTTCTATATAAAGTGCTGCAGGTTGTTTCTTCGCGTGAAAACATCTGTGCGAAGCTTTATGTTTGCCATCTCTTGGCGAATATACTGATCGAAGTTTTCCACCTGTTTCCAAATATACTCTTATCGGTCCTGAAACCTTGGTACAAGTACGAAAACCAAATAACTGAAAAGCACTATTGTTACTAATCGGATTGGTATCGTTTTTCATATTAATATCATTTTTTTTTCGAATGAATTCATAATGAATCTTCGATATCAATTCATTTAAAACAGGAGGCGAGAGAACTACGCGCAAAGCTCCTCGTGGATAACGCCACAATATTGTTCCTCTGGAACATCGTAGATATACTGGTCGAACACCGCGACCACCGCCACCACTGTAAAATAATGAAAGAAAAAAAATAGAAATAGAAAAAGAAAATATTTAAAAAAGTATATTAATTATTTAATATCTTTTTATACGCTATATTTTAGAATATATCGATCTTTGAGCTATTTCAATAAATTATTTCTCAAAATCTTGAATAGAAATTTATTAAATTTAATCCATTAAATTTTTCCAAAAATTTTTAATCCATTACGACTTTTTTTGTTTTTCATAATAATGATTATTATAAGGATTTTCGATAATTATTGTTAATCATGTAATTATTTTTTTTTTTTGCTCAATTTATTTTTTCTTTCTTTCAACTCTTATATATATATATATATATATATCATGTACATATATGGAAATTCATATATGAACTTTTTATTCTTTCTTATAAGAGGAAATGAGATAAATCGAATACTCTAGTCCATTCGATCTTTCTTAGATTTGCTTGTGTTTGCTTGCTGGATGGGGAAAACCGGTTTCATTGTAAGTCGGGCGACTGGTTTCACGCTTAATAAAACTTTGTATATACATATATATATGTTTATTATACACACATTTTCATTCCCCGTTATCATGAGGAATTTTAAAACACGTGCGCGTGCGCGCACACACGCATGCACATATATTTGTGTAGCAATAAAAAAAAAAAAAAAAAGAAAAATAAAGAAAAAAAATTGTATTTGCAAATTATTAAGGTTTTTTCACGAGAAAAGTCTAATTAAGAAAAAGTCAATTGTGTGAATCATAATTGGTTATTGTTTAAAGCAAATCAAAGAGAAATAATCGAATAAATATAATCACAAGTATATAATTTTATTAGTAAAATTTAATAAATGCAATTCGTATATCAATAGAAATCAAATAAAGAATATAACGGAGAATACTAACCTTCCAATCCAATCACATTGATCGGCAGCTTGAAGGGCAACATGTTCATAGAAAGGGGCCGATGACACATTGCTAATGAGTAGCAGTAAAGATAATAAAAGCACGGAACAAAGCATGAACGTAAATGTTCTCATTTTTTTGTGATTTTATATCGTATTGATTATATACGTTATATATCAAACTGAGTATATATTTGAATTTGCATCTCTGCTTTACAATGTTTTATTATCCAATATTTATTATATTCCAAATTGGATTTCATTTGTTACAGACTACAAAATCTCAATATCGTTAATTTCGTTTAAATAATTTTTTAGTTAAAAAGCGTATATATGTTTTTTTTATATACATACTAAAAATAATAAAATTCGAACCATACTAAAGATTATATAGATGCGTGTATATACAAGTTTGATTACGCAATGAAGTTTCTTTACTTTATTATAAATTTTAATAAACAGATTCACTTTAAGATGATTTTATTGATGTTAACAGAAAATATGATACTTGATTCAAGATTTAACATTGTTATTCAAAAACATGCACACAGCATAACGATGTAGATAGCCTAACCTTAAAAAATGAAATGAAAAAATAAACGTTTATTAGACGAAAACGTTAAATTAATTAATAATGTCCTCACGTTTCTTCACTGGTGTAAACTACTTGCTCTCGTTTCTACACTGCGTCTTCGAATCGCGCGATGGTAGTATGATCGTGTATGCACGACGAACGAGACGGAGAACATTTGAAGAATCATACTTGCCATGGAATATATTAAAAGATTTAGTTATAATATTATACCAAAATTTAACCACACGAGAACTTTCAATAGTTGTTCAGCTATACGTGCCAACACCGTTTATACATATAACTTATGTACAACTATTTCAAAATTATGCATGTCGTTTCGTTGCACAATCGCTCACTCGCACGCACCCATACTCACTCACTTTCTCTCTAGTCTGACGTTCTTTACCATGCTCGTTAGAGTCCACTTCGACTCGAGTCGACTCGTTTTATCTCGACTGGCTTCGCTGTTGACTCTCGCCCTTCTCTCCTCTTTCTCACTGGCTAGCTCTTCGAGTGGCTTTGTCATGTTTCTGTTCTCGTTTCATTTTTCGGTTCCTTTCGATGTTATATCTCATCAACATCACATTAGAATATCTGTTAATTGTACTTATAATGTTAAAAAATTTATTTTTTTTAGGAAATAGAATTTAATTTGATAGTAAATTAAAACTGAATCATCGATAAATTAAACATTTTTCTTTTAAAAATTTATTATATTATATATATTCTTTATTATATATATTCTTTTTATTTATCATATTTTATATAAGATAATTATTATTTAATGAAATAAAAGAATAATAAAAAATATACAAATAATCAATCAGTTTTATATTATTTGATATTAATTATATTTAATTTTATATTAATTAAATATCTATTAATTTATATTATTTTATAAAAATCATCAATTTTGATACATTTATATATCTTAATATATGATACATTTATATGTATCTTATGTAGATAGAAAAAAATCAAAAAGAGATAAATATGAGAATGAAAATGTGAATTTATATATAAATGTTGATAGATGATTAAAAAAAGATGCGCGTATACAACTTTTTAAAAAAAAGATGTATCATTTTAATGTAAAATATATTGGTTTCTATTTTAATAAAAAAAAAAAACGATAATATTAATGTACATATTGCAAATTATATTTGTGATTTTATACAAACGAAAAATATATTAAAATGTTATCTGAAAGTGTGATTCTTTAATCTAGATATTAAATTATATGTTCTATATCTAAATATTAAATATTAAATTTTTGTATATAAATTTCTATATTTATTTACTTAAATTTTTTTTTCTTTGTCACTTTGATCGCTCTATATATAATATCATTTTGCAAATAATAAAATAATTAATTGAGTATTGAAAAACAATTGTACATTAGTATATATATAATATATAAATGAAAATACGTTATAGTAAAGTCTATTAACTAAAGTGACTTAGTTAATATAGAATAATATAGAATAATATAGAATAATATAGACTTAGTTAATAATAGAAGATAAAATGACTAAAGTCTATTTGAATTATTAATAGATTGAATAAAAATTAAATAGGATGCTTAAAAACTAATCTTAATAATAGAAATGTTAATATTAATAAGAAGATAAGATTTATTTTTCATGAAGTGTTAACTTATCTGATAAAAAAATATTAGGTTTATTTTTATTATGTATTGATAATTTTATAAAAATATGCAATTATTATGCTTCATATCATGATATATATATGTATATAAATATTTTGAAATTATAGAAACTCATCGTGGAATCTAAGTTAAATAGTTTCATTTGCAATACGCATCAATTCCTTTTTCATGTTGTTCAATCTAAAAAAAAAAGAAAATTTTTTCTGTTTCATACATCTTCTATTAATTTATAAATGTTCAAGAATAATTCGTAAATTTATAAATAATTAAAATATATTTTATGTATTCGAAATGTTTTATATTACTTTTAAAAGATACTTTTCACAAATAAATACATAATATATATAATATATTAATTTATAATATATTAAATATATAATATTAAATATATAATACATAGAATATATACAATCTAATTGAAAAACGATCTTACGCTTCCGTGCAAAAGGTTTGTCGATCTATATGTCCTGGCACAACTTGAACGGGACAAGGATCATAATAATGTACGCTCAACGTTTTCATAGCAATTTTATAATCGTCCAACGGTAAAAGTTCTGAATCACGAGAGAGAACGTTTCCGAATATCGCATCGACATGCCTTATTGTTAATGAATAAAATGAATATAATATATATTTTCAAACATGATAATAGTATGTGTTATATATTTGTGTAATTATATATATATATATTATATATGTATATACATATTTTCAAACATGATAATAATGTACGCTATATATTGTGTATATGCATATATTATATATATGTATTATATGTTATATGTGTTATATTGTATATATATATCTTGTATATGTCTCTATGTATATACCTTTTTGTCCAAAGTAATCGTGGATTTTTAAGTCCCGATCTAAACAATATAAAATCATCTAATAATTCATAAAGATATTGGATAGGATTTGTTGGTTGTTGAACAATAACATGAGAGAGAAGAAAATGAAATATATCGAAAATATTTTTTTTATTCAAATAATCTTGTTCTCTGGATATATTACACGCAACATTATTCTAAAAAACGAAGATAAAATCAGATTCAACGAATTAATAATAACTAGAATGAGATAATATATTATATAACTATAACTAATAATTTTTTTAAAATCAAGAACATTATGTATCATGTACCAATGTTTACTTACATTCCAAGTGAATTGAGATTGTCCGCAAGAGTGTGATGATAATTTTTTATTTTGTTCTCCTTTTCGAAAATATTTAATATTTTTATTCATATTTCTACCAATAATAATAAATAAGTTGCAAATACATAAGTATATTTCACATGATTGTATATATAGATAAAGATTTTATGACGATAAAAACATGTGAAATCTAACATAGAAAATTTGATATTTCTTTTTTATGGTTATTTATATACACGCGCGATTCGAAAAAATTGCAATATTAAAAATGATTGAAATTAAATTTCAACATAAAATTATAAGTAAGAAATAGAATAAATGTTCTTTTGCATAAAAATTGGATCAAATAGATCTAATAAAATTTTTAATCAATAAATTAGGCAAAAAAAATAATAAAGTTAATCAGATGTTGTAATCGTTTTTTGAGCATATAAATTTTATAAAATATAGACAAGATAAGTAATCAGTGAAAAAAAGATAAGGGATAAAATTGAAAAACTAGCGCCATCTCTTGAGTGAAAAAAACATCTCTTAAAAAAATATTCAAAAGATGGCTCTGATTCGCAATTCTTATTCTATCTTATCTTGCTTTTGAAGAGATATCTTTGCACAGACAAAAACATATATTGGTTTAACGAGTATAATATAAAAAAAATTTATCATATTCTTGAGTTAATTTTCAATTAGTTCATTTTCAGTCACATTTAAAAATATATCATAATTATTAGTATCCATATAAAAAAATTGAGAACTTTAATTTCTTTCGTTTTTGTTTTATTATTATTATATAAATATATATATATATATATATATATATATATATTGTAAGTATAGAGTATGTACGTTATTTGAATTTATCGTAGCTGGAGAATATCATTCCAAGATTACATTACTCCAGCTAGGTTAAAATATTTAAAAACTTATAAAATTGTAAATGTATAATTAAATAATATAAATATAATATTTATATTTCCCTTAAAAATAGCAATATTTTCTAATATATCCTGTATCCTTCTTCGTGTCTTAATAAGGAATGAAATTCAACCATAATATTAAGTTATACCACATGAAATTGCCAATTTTAAAATAAATGATAAATAAATGAATCAATTTTAAAATAAATGAATCAATTGAGACTTGCAAATTCTACTTAACTTATATTTTGCTTAGCATATTTTGACGTTTATTTTCTTATATTTCTTTTGTGTGATAAATTTTTTTTTATATTAATTTAACTATTTTTTGAAAAATGAACAATATTATGTTTCCGGACAAATTTAGAATATAATTCCTGTATGAGTTTAAGCTGGATCACAATATTTCTCTTTCTCGTTTGTATTTTATATTTTGTCGATAATCTAAATTGAATCACTCAAAAAGTATAAAATAAAAATCTGATTATGCACTTCATAATTTTAAGCATTGAAACGAAAATATTATTCGTTATCTTAATTAAAAAAATTTCTACAAAAAATAATCATGCTTGCAACTAATTAGTTTATATTTTAGTTATTTTTTATAAAAAAATGTAATTGTGTTATCGTACCATAAAAGATAGAACTGTATTCAAATTTTTAAATTTTAATAAAAAAAATAAAGAATATTTATATTTGTATATTTATATTTGAATATTTATATTTAATTAATATATTATAATATATTTGTTGTAATAAATTTTAATAATAATTCTAAAAATACAAAAGATTTATAAAATTTAAGAAATAAGAATAATTCTTTTTATTCTTTTATGCAATGAATGATCCTTATTTTACTCTTAAGAAAGGTACACTAATTTTATATTATACTAAGAACGAATATTTAACATAAAAAAAATAAAAAACTTATTAATCCATTCGCGCTATACTATATTACTAAATTATTAAATTATATACTTATTTATATTTTGTAATCAATGAACAAGCATTGATTCGAATTTTGCGTATAACAATTATAATTTAATTTGAATTTAATTAGAAAAAAATATTTATAATTTTACGAAACAAACACTAAATTTATCAACTGCATTGTATGCGGTCATAATGATTTGGAAATAAAATTGCATTAATAAAAAAACAATGAAAAATTTTTATTTATATTTTCTTGATTTTTTTATTTTTATCTTATTTGTTAAAAAAATATTGTTATTTTTGAAAAAATTACTGTCAATGTTCATTATTAGAATTAATAATATTTTATAGTCTAACATCAATTAGTATTAGAAATATTTGAAAATTTTTGCAAGTTACTTACGAAAAATATAACAAATCATAAATTATCAATATCATTATTATATATTTATCTTAATATTTTCAATAATCAATATAATTATAAATTACGTAAAAATTATGTAAATATCATACAATTCAGTAAAAAAAAATACAAAAGGACTTGTATTTCAAATACAGAAATTTAAATTTTATTTCTCTTTTTTTTTAAACGTAACTAAATTGTCAGTAGTCATATTGAAAATCCTTTTTTTCCTCTAAAAAATTTCAGTAATCTTATTTGTTGTAAAAGAAAAATCAAATTTTTAAGATAAATATAAATTAAATCTATCGTATTAAAATAAAATAATAATTAAATCTATCGTATTAAAATAAAATAATAATTCAAATCTTATTTTAAAAGATCATAATATGAGTTATTGATAACTCAAAAAAAAAAAAAAAACAAGCAAAATAAATTTTTCCTCAATTACCAATTGTATTACGATATAATAAATATTCGCAATAGATTCATAATGAAGCAGCAAAATATGTAATCATTAAATAAAATTAAATTACATTAAATTTTGATAACGGAAAGCTCGAATTTCGATATATCAAATTACAAATTGAAAAGATATGTTGCAACATATTATATTCGATAGATTGAATACAATATGAACACAAATAACATACAATTTTCTTGAAAAATTTTATTATGAAAAATATTATTTATAATTATGTAATATTATATTGTTATAAGTTTAATTATACATTACTGTAAACCTCGTTTAATACGTTATTTATTTATCCAAATAAATCTTAAGTGAATATTTTTTATTTAATTAAATCAGAAGTGAATATCTGCCAATGAAACGCGACCAATCATTATAATTTTCAATTACAGATTGACACTATGCGAATTATAATACGCATTGATTCATCTTGCCGTTAAATCTTAACGATTTTCTGATTGGCTAAAATGATGGAGTTACTTATTTATGACAGCTGTGCGAAAATTGAAATACAATTTTTATATTTAATTAATTATATTAATCTATTCTTATTATATTCTTAATCGAGATTATAAGATTTTAATATATAGAAATAATTTTACGTTTAAAGCTAAAAACATTTCTTATAATTCAACTTATTCTTATAATTTATTCGCAGGAAACTGACAATTCGTGTACATAGCACGTTCGATATATTCTGATTTGTTGAATTGTTGAATGATATTTCCTTCTCAATTTGTAATTCGATATATCGAAATTGCTACGTGACATGTTATTCCATTTTCGAAATTGTGACGATTAAACATTTTGCTTTAAGTTCGTAACCTATTCATTTCGTAATACTTGTTTGTTATTTTTTTTATTTTTTTTACTAATATTTCATTAATATACCTTTGGTCGATGCATCAATTTTAATATTTATATTTGAATATTAATGTAATTAATAATTCTTCGAGTAATAATTTATTCTCTTCTTTTTTTTTTATTCTTTTGATTCGTTTGATCATCAAAGTTATCATTAACTCGTATTATGAACTTCTAGAAATAAACTAGAATGTGTTCTAAACTTTCATTATCATTTTAGTATCATTCTTAATGTTAGCGATTTAGCATAAAATAAGATTATATATCATGGAATTCAAATTAAATTTTTTTGAAATTATTATTTTACTATTTAATTTTAAATTATTTTAAATTATTGTATAATTATATATTTAAGAAGTAATAATTATTTTTATATTCTTTGAAAATTACAAATACATTTCTATTTTAAATAAAACATTTTTAAAAATCTGGAAAAATATCATCATTTTGTTTAAAATTTATTTTCATTATTATTTCATCTTGTTTGTCTTAATTCTTTATGCAATCATATGAATTTTGTATATGAATAATTTTAAATTTCAAGAAATAAAATAATATTGAAAGACTATATTATATTATTGATTACATTACATGATTTTATCATATTATATTTATATATTTCTACTTTTACAAACCTTGATAATTAGATTAAATATAATTCTAAACTCATTTTAATTTATAGAGGAATATAACGAAACATAATTTTTTTTACATAACCATTATTTCAAAACATAGGACAAAGTCCTATACAATGAAATTTGTTCTGTACCTTGTCACGTCTATTTTATATTTCATCTGTAGTCTTTAATATACAGGATATAACGTTGATTAATTAGCTTTCCCTTGCTTTCCTTTTCTATATTTTTTTTATTTAAGATATAATAAAGATGGCTTTAATTCTTTAATTTTTATCTCATATCTATCATCATATCCATAGATTTTTTTTATTATTTATTTTTCTTATATATAATTTTTTTACAAAATTTATATGCTCAAGAGATAATTACGACATCTAATTATCTTTATATGTCTTTTTCTTTATCTAATCTATTATTTAAAAATGTTAATAAAACTTATCTGATCGATATTTTTTATATATCATAAATATATATATATATATATATATGTATTTTTGTATATTTATATACAGTGACATACATATAATTTTATATAATGATATACATACACTTTAGTATGTCGCAGAGAATATATTAATTATAATATAGAATATAATAATTTTTTATGTAATGTTTGATTTTGATGAAATAGAAATAAAATGAAGTGGAATTCATTCGATACTTTATATTTCATTAAAGCTAGATTAGAAAGTATACCGAAAATATGTATATACATGGTTGAAAATGATATGATGCAAGTAAATATTAAGACTGAAAAAAAAAGAAGAAATAATTTGATGATGTTGTGTGATTCTTATAATTTTCCTTTGTTTTCATAAAATAACAAATGAGGGTGAGTGTCAGTTTTCACACCCGCGACTCGACAGGATCTCTTTCGAGAATGTAAAAAAAGGATAGAATGCGAAACCGGTTCCCAAGTATCTTTGTATAGGTGCTTGCCTTCGCGCCTCACCATTATCCTTCACATCTTTGAATAAAGACTAAATGCATTAGGATTATAGATAGCAAATAAATATATTTATCTCACTATGAAAAAAATATTATTTATGTTAACAATATTTAATTTTCTACATTGAATATTCATTTTTCGACATTGAATCGAACTTTCCTCTTATAATTTATAATTTTAAACTATAGCATTTTTTTATTAATAAAATTTATTAAAAATATAATATAAAATAATATAAAATAAAAAATATAAAATAAAATAAAATAAAATTTATTAATAAAATAATAATAAATTAATAATTAAACAGATTAAGATTAATCTGATTAAACTGATAATATAAACTAATTTATCATGATAAAATGTTGTTCATTTTTATCAGTCATTGTCACATTTTATATTGCATAATTAAAATTGAAGACGATTAATTTTTCTATTGAAAAAAAATAGACAAATATAAAATTAGATAAAATACATAAATTAGGATCATTTCAAAGAAAATAATATATCGACATTTCTAATTATAAAATATTATTTTCAATAATATATATGGTCTCTGAAAAACATTAAAAAGAATTAATTTATTTACTTATTTATAATTGATTAAGAAAATAAATTAGGAATAAAAATAAAGTGATTGATTGTGCAAAGTAACAATATATAGATTGTACCAAAACGAAATATATTCAGTGATTCCTTTATTGTTTGTTCTTTGATTCATGATTTGTAATCTATATCTTGTAAATCTTGATTTACAAATTTATTTTGATCGATCTTTATGACTTAGATATGACTTAGATATATCTTAGATTTGACTTTTAAAAATAAGAATAAATTTAAATAATAAATATCATTATTCTTAAGAAACACATTAAATTCATACGACTAAAAAACAAAAAACAATAATTCAATTTGCATCAAACTCATTCCTTTTTTGAATCTTTTAATTATTTTCTTTTATTCTATTTATTATGGTTTACTATTTAAGTACAAAATTATTAAAAAAATATTTTTATTATTATTATATATTATATTTATTATCAACATCATTAATGTTACTTTAATCATTCATTTATTTGTTAAAGTGAATAAAATGAACAAAAATATTTCTAATAAACTTATTATATATACATATATATACATGAATTGATTTCCCACTATATATATATATATATATATTTTAATTTTAAAATGATCCATTAAACTCAAAGATTTTGAATTGATATGAATTTTGCACATAAAATATAAATCAATAATTAGTGATATTTTTGCAAATATTCATGATTTATTATTTCGCCAAGATTCTTTTGAATTTATTTATATTTGTTAATTATTTATAACGAAAATTATATATCGATTATTATAATGATTATAATTGTTGACAATTATATGTATTAATGGAAAATCTAGAATTTAATAATTTAGCATCACTATATTGTGATTATTTATATATACACATAAATATTCAAGAAGACAAGTATTGTTAGGTCGGAAAGATTCAATGAGTTGATAAATTAATAAATTGATCAATAAAGCCGATGATTTCTAACTCATTGTACTCTATATTTCATAGTATATATATATATGTATGATATTACGATATCTACTTAGCCTCTTTATCTTATCCATATAGTTTTTCTTGAGCAAGCACATTTATGGTGCTTTGATCAAACTCATTCTCAATTCTTTGCGCTTGCACACGATATAATACCGCTTTTACATGTATTTTTTATTATACGTATATGTATATGTACAAATTATCTGAGTAGTACAAAAATGTTAAGTATAACATATAATATCTTTCAATCGTATTTAATTATCTATATATAATATCATAAAACTGTCTCATTTTTGAATCTTTCTTGTAATTCTTATTTTTATTATCTCATTCATTTATAATTCTTATTTTATATAGTATATAATTTTTATTATTTTGTGATATATATAGTAAATAATACAATCATATATATATATATATATATATATATAGAAGTGCAATCATATATAACAAACACAATTTATATTTCAAATATATATATATATATATATATATATATTTTCCATATTTTTTAAAACAATATTATTTTGAATAGGAATATATTATATTATCAGATAATTTAATATTTATTTTTGATTGATGTACAATGTTTTCAAACATTTTTTCCTATCGTTTTAGATGCTATTACAAGTGAATATATTACTTTTCAAGTATAAAATATATCTCTTTCTTTTTCTCTTTTCTCTCAATTTTTTTCATACAAATTTTATTAATATATTAATAGATCAATATTTATCGATATATTATGTGTACATAGTTTATGCACAATATAAACAAATTTTCAGAATCCTTATTTATGGAATATATTTTAAATACATTATAAATATTATAATTTTATCATAAAATAAATATTCTAAAAGTTCTATTATTAAATTTCATCAATAAAAATTTATATTAACTATGTAATATTTAATATAATATATTAAATATTTATAACTATAATATATAATATTATATATTTTATCTTATTATCGAAATAAAATTCCTGTTTGCACATTTAAAAATTTATAAAAATTTATGAAATATTATCAATTTAAAAAACTTATCGTATCTATATGGATATGATATATGAATGGTTTTTCGAATAATGTGTACAGTCTTTAATTTTAATTGTTCTTTTATAATAACTAATCACATGATAAAAAAATTATAAATACAGATTTTTATAGTGTAAAATGCATAAACTACATATTTTTTTAATAGATCATTGTTCATTTTTCGTTACTTTAAATTTTATCTTCGAAGTAAGAACTATAAACATGTAATCGACGAAAAGAAAAAGAAGAATGAATAAGAAGAAACATCTTTGAAACTACATTCGTCGCGGCATAACGGCGCCCATAGGGCGCCGTCGCATGCTCCCTACTAGTTGCAATGACAATACAGGTACGTAACTTTAAATATGAAATGTTAATGATTATATTGTAAAAAATTTATAATATCATTTCAAAAATATAAAGAATAACATAATAATAGGATTATAATAAGATTATAAAGTATAATAAAATTTAATTATATGACAAAAAAATGAATTAAGATAAGATATATGAATAAAATATATATAAATACATATTTTGATCAATAAATAATTTTTAGTGCAATATATATTAATTTTAAATAATCAAATAAATTAACTGTTAATTTTTTAAAATGTAAATTGTTACATTTTCTGTGTAACGATAAAAAAGTATATCATTAAAAAACAAGATATAATGGCATGTATTTACATACATAGTAGTATATAATAGAAGTAACATATAATAGAATTTGATTTGAGTGTTATATCGATATTTATAATTTTCATTGATTAATTGTATTTTGAACTTTATTTTATTCCAATTCATATTTTTTTTAATTTAATTATACTATTCGATTATATTAAAGATATTTCCGGGTAACAAGAATTAATGATACACTGCTGATATATGGGTATATCTTTGTTTCTTTCTTTTAGGTGAGCTCAAATAGTTGTCTTTGTTTAATAACCGAACTACTACACGATCAACTCTCCAATGAGCTGTCAGTTCTTTAGAGAACCAACCGTAGAATGACGGAAAAAGCCGAAGCTGATCAGCCTGCGCTTTGCGACCGACGCGTCTCGCCCTACGTCACAGTGAAGTATGTGCTCTCGGATGTAGAAAATGGCTGCGCTCTTTGCTACCCCAGGTCGGTGCGGATGTAAATACGGCCTGTGGATCAGCTTAGGAGTGTTTATCGCGAAATTTATTTATGGTGAGTATACTTGTGAATCATTTTACAATTGTATATACAAGATGTGTTAAATAAAAAGTTACAGTGTGTGCAATGTACCAAAGGATCGATCTGATGCGGATTCCCGACGTGAAAACAATTAACGTATGCTATTGTTAACCATTCCTTGCCTTTTTACTATACAAATATGTATATAATTTTATACTCTCTGTCCTGCCTGTCCTTTTTTCCTTGGATCTCCCGCCCTTCTCTCTTTTCCTCCTCTTTTTCCTCCTCTTCCTCCTCCTCCTCCTCCTTCTCTTCCTCCTCCTTCTCTTCCTTCTTCCTCCCTTCTTTCCCCCCACTAATCTTACACATTCACTCACTCATTCTTGATTTGATTAATGTTGTTTCAGCACTACTTTTTCTTCTAACATATTGACAACAAACACATGAGTTGCTTTTGAATGTTTTGTAAAAGGTCATTTTATGATTTCAATCTAATCTTGTTTTTTAAAAAATTTTCTTAAACGAAAATGAAATAAATTATGATTTAGTGCTTCCGCGATATATATTATACTTTTTTTCAAATGCATCTATGTATATGTTCTACGTCTATGTATATCTCATTTATAAGTTTAAATTTTCGTAAATAATTTGAATTTTCGATGTACAGTTGTAATTTACTATGCAATTTACTATGCAATAAGTATATTTTTATAAAAGAAGTCTCTTATACCAAAGAGAATAGTGTATATTTTTTCTTATCCTTGACTCAAAGAAGAGAACAGGCTGAAAAAGAATGAGAAATAAGAAAAAAAAGTTAGGCGGTTTTATTAAGGTTAAGAACTGAAATATCAACGATGTTGTTTCGTCGCTTTTGTAACTCTGAAATTCCCTTTGCAATTCCTTTTGCCTCGATCTTTTTCTGCTTTATTTTTCTCTTTTTTACATTACTCCATCTCATATTTGAATAGTTTAATTATCAATTTGCTTTGCTTTGCTGTAATAGTTGTCTGTTTATCCGCAGTTTTTTTTTTTTGCAAATTAATATTAATAAATATCATTTCATCATATTTTTAAAAATACATAATTCAATTTTAAAATTCATTTATTTTTTTTATAAGAAACAAATTGGTAAGTCGAAATACTTGTTGACATATTCAGGTTTTGTAATTCACATTAGCTCTTAATACTATGTTTAAATACTATTATATAAAATATTCCATTATATTATTTTTCTGTAATTTGTATTATTAATGTTAGCATTATTTTTTTAATCATATATATATACACATATACAGGAAATTCCCGAAATCATGCGGTCGAGTGAAAATTTTACATACAAAAATAAATTGATTAAAAATAATAAGAATCCATTTCTTTCTTTATATATTTATATAAAAAAATGTATATTTATATAAAAAATGATTTCATAATTAATAATATAAATAATTTATACTATAAATAATTTTACTAATAAAATAAAATATTTGTCTTCACATTTTTTATGTCAATTGTTGTAATTACTTTGTTATGAAATATTGAACTATATGAAATTATGTAACTAAGCCTTAATTAATTTAATAATATCATTCATATTAAATTTATATTTTCATTGATGATAAATTCTTCATGAAAAAAATATCATCTTTTTTGATAATAAGATTGAAAATTATTTTTAATTAAAAATTTTAATTCATTTTAATTCTTTTAATTACTCTTTGAAAGATATATTTATATAATTATATTATATATAATATAATTATTTAAATAATTTATCTTCGATTGAAATATAATACTCATTAGAAGCTTGCATTATCACATAATGCGTGTGCGTGCGTGCGTGCGTGCGTGCGTGCGTGCGTGTGTATGTGTATTATATAGTAATTGTGCATAAATATGTAAATATATTATTTATCAACGTGCAATCTCTCTATAAAAAATTTACAAAATTTTCTAATATTATTCATATATTAATAACATCATAATTTATTACAAATTAATAAATTTTTTAGATTTAATTGGAATTATTTTTTTATTTTTATTTTCCATTTTATTTTGTTTATACTCAATGCTATAAATATTATAACATATTATAGGGATAAGTTTTTAAATAAATTTTAAATGAGAAGTAAATTTAAATAAAATTTTCTAAATTTAAATGGAAAATTTTATTTTACTTTTACTAAGTTTTTAGTAATAATCGATTTTCATGCTATCTACTACGTTGTATATTTTAATAAGATTACAATATAAATATTAATTATATGATAAAACTTAATAAAGAAACATATGCATATATATATATATATATATATATATATATATATATATAAATTAAAGAAACTCGTTGTGGTCGATTCGATCGAATGAAAAATTATGATTCAATTTTTTATTCGCCCATTCTGAATTACATCCAAAATATCTTATTAATAATGTCATTTTTTCATTTGTTCATTGATCATCATGAGTTCTTCGTTTGTTATTTTTATTGTTACCAGATAAACAAGGATAGAAGAAAAACGTGATCGCACTTGGAAACTATTGTAAAGTATGTATTATCACTTTTGGATGTTATCGGATAAACAGACATCACTGATTTCTTTATAGAATGGAATTTATATAACATTTATCATAGATTAAAATGTAGAAAAAGACACATGATTAATCTTAGAAGCCAAAAAATTGCCATGTATTTTTGCATTTTATTAAGTTTATATTTGTAGTTGATTTTTTCAAATTTATGTTTAAAGTAATGCAATTCAATTTATATAAAAAATGAAAAGCACTCAATCATTGCTACAAAAAAAAGCATTTTTTTGTAACAACAAAATTTTTTATAAGATGCATTACATATTTATTATACTATTATATATTATGTATTATAGTAATATTATGTATTTTTATGAAGACCAAAATATTTTTAAATTTACCAGTACATTATCAATCCAAATTACTTTTAATTTTTATATTATATTAGCAATATTTTATGAGTATCATTTTTCCAATAAATTTAATTATTTATGTTTAAAATATTAATATATGCTTTTAAAAATATTATTTCTTCTTTTTTTAAAATTTCATCTTTTGTCTTTCTTATTTTAATACGATAAATTGACAAAGAAAAGAATAAACATTATTTATATATATATACATAATATATAAATGTATGTTTGCATAATATTTGATCAGATTATTATGAAAGATATTGCAAAAGATATGTTTTATTTATTATAAAAATTGATGATGTAATTATTCTAGTAATAGAACTAAGTAATTATTCTTTTATATGATGCATTATTATTTACAAATTAGAATTCATCCTTTCTTTTTTTTTTTTTTGATCATTTTTATGAAAATATTATTTTATGAAAATATTATTTTAATATATGTATATTTAAATTAATTGAACTATTATATTTTATCTTTATCAAATTTTATAGTATGAATGCAAAAAATATAATAATAATAATTATTATGATTATATATATAATATGCATTTTAGTCATTATATTATATTCTAACATATTCTAAAGTGTATGTTGTTGAATAATTGAGTTTTATTATCTTGTCTTTATTAAGTTTCATATATATGAATATAAAAGATATAATAATAATTATTGATATGATATTAAATAATTTGTTTTGCTTATTTATTAACTACTTTATATGTGATAGTGAATTAAGTTCATTTTTTTTATTTTTCAGCATTGGGAATTACTTGCTATTGTGAAGGACATTGTCCAGATGATCGACAAAATGGAACTTGCGAAGGGAGACCTGGTGGTCATTGTTTTAGCGCGGTAGAAGAAGTTTGGGATGCAGAATCAGGAGAATTTGTGCCAGAATGGTCATTTGGCTGTTTACCACCAGACGAGCAAGGTTTCATGCAATGCAAAGGATACCTTGTGCCACATTTACAAGGAAAAAATATAATATGTTGTAACAAGAGTGCATTATGTAACAAAGATTTATATCCTGATTATAAACCTAGAACTACAACAGTACCTAATCCTATGGCTATAGCATCGGGTGCGCCACTTATAATATTAACTACCATTTTGTCTATATGCTTAATGGTAATTTCAATAGCTATGGTGATCATATATCATAGATACAGAAGAAAAGAAAGAGGACCTTGCTTAGTGCCTTCTCAAGGAACACTTAAAGACTTTATTGATCAGAGTAGTGGTTCTGGATCAGGATTACCTCTCTTAGTACAGCGAACTATAGCTAAACAATTAGCTTTATCTCAATGTGTTGGGAAGGGACGATATGGTGAAGTATGGCTTGCAAGATGGAGAGGGGAAAAAGTGGCAGTGAAAGTATTTTTTACATTAGAAGAAGCATCTTGGTTTAGAGAAACTGAAATTTATCAGACAGTTTTAATGAGACACGATAATATCTTGGGTTTCATCGCGGCTGATATCAAAGGCACAGGATCTTGGACACAAATGTTACTAATTACAGATTATCATGAAAGAGGCTCATTATATGATTATCTACAAACTACTGTTCTAGATTATCCTAGCCTTTTAGCAATATGTCTTTCAATTGCTTCTGGTATTGCTCATCTTCATACAGAGATTTTTGGTACACGGGGGAAACCTGCTATAGCTCATAGAGATATTAAAAGTAGAAATATTTTAGTAAAAAAGAATGGTGAATGCGCAATTGCAGACTTTGGTTTAGCAGTTAGATATATTAGGTAAATATATTTTAAACTAAATGAAATAATTATGTTCGTAAAAAGATGCGTGTAAATATTTCATATACAAAAGAATAAAATAATTGCATTTGCATTATATACAAATTATTGATTGTAACATTTTATTTTTAGTGAAAGCGGAGAAATTGATATTGCACCCAATACACGAGTGGGTACACGCCGATACATGGCTCCAGAAGTTTTAGATGAAACTTTAAACACATCTTCTTTTGACGCTTTCAAGATGGCAGATATGTATTCTGTTGGTCTTGTACTTTGGGAAACTTGTAGAAGATGCATTACAGGTGGCAAAAATTCTATGGTCGAACCATATGCTTTACCGTATCAAGATGTTGTTCCAAGTGATCCAGATTTTGAAGATATGCGGTTAGCAGTTTGTGTAAAACGATTACGTCCAATAATACCAGCACGATGGGAAAATGATTCAGTAAATATGAAACTAATCATATTTATAGATGGAAATATTTTGATAAAATAATTATATTAAAATTAGATATTTGTTTTTTTTGTTATAGATTCTATTTGCGCTGAGTAAGCTTATAGCCGAATGTTGGCATGCAAATCCAGCCGTTCGTTTAACAGCGCTGCGCGTGAAAAAGACAATATCAAAATTACATATTGACAATGCTATTAAAATCGTATAACATTTGACGATATTCGTTGGATGTATTCTATCTTATCGCTAGTAGCTAAAAAATAATTTCTTCCCTTGTAAATAACCCGGTGTATATAGATTTATTGACAGACTGCAAGCCTGAAGACTGAATAATAAAATTTAAAAATACGTAAATACGTATGTATGTGCGAATGTACTGTGATCAAATCAATCATGACTGGAAAAGAAAGAAATTATGAATGAATGTGTATATCTTTATATTGTTATAAGTAAATGCGACGAAACATGATGATAATGTTTTAACGTATTTTATTATGTTATTTTAAAATTTGAGTATGTAATCAATGATGGCCACTACTTAGAAAGAATAATTTTTATTTTCTTTCAGTCTAAAAAAAATGAAAATATTCTAATTTCTAAATACATATAAACATAAAATGGAGATATTTAAAATGAAATTAATCGTAAAAATTTATTTAAAAAAAAAACGCAAAAATTATTTTAATGATAGCATTTAAATTTATTATATATCCATCCAGTGTTATAAATTTATATATATTAAAGTTCCACCATTAACAGAATTATGTTAATCTTTATATATATATTACTTAATATATCTTTGAAATGAAGAATACAATACTAATTGTATAAAATAATTTTAATTGCAAAATGAGATGTCTTGCAGGATGTATGGAATTTTATGTTGTTTATAAATATAGCTCTATAAATTTAATTTTTACCATAATGATGTATTAAATATATATCGATTGTAAAATATAAATATGTGAAATATTCTTGTATGTCAGAATGTTTCGTATTACAAGATAAATTTTATTAATATTCAATGTTTATAAATTTCTTCAGTATGCTTATTATTAAATTCTATAATTTTGAAAATAGGACAATTTTTTTTAATTTTTCTTTTTTATTAATACTTTTCTGTTATATTGAATCTTCTTTTATAAATACTTTTCCTTTATATAATTCCATGTTATCTATATTTATCATAGTAAATATTAAATATAATTTATATATAATTAATAAATTAAATATATAATTTTGTTTAAGAATGATTAAAATTATGTTAATTTTTAAATCCATGTTTTATTAATACAATACAATTTTATATCTGAGAGAACTTCGTATAATTTAATATTATATAAATATTTAAACATTTAAATATTTTGTTGAAAATATAATCGATTCGGTCGAGTTTGATAATAATGATTTAGATTTCATTAAAATAATAAAATTTATAAATATATTTTAAAAAAATTTTCAGTAAAAATTGTCAAAAAATAATTGTGGATAAGCTCTGAATATCAATTTCAGATTGTTTCTCTCTCTTTCTCTCTTTCTATATATATATTCTATATATATATATAAATATATGTATATTATATTATGTATATATATTATATATATATTATAACATGTTACATAATAGAAATCACTTTTTAGTGATTTTTTTAAGAAAATAAATTATAATTAAATTAAATTTAAATTAAATAAGAAAGTTAATAAATTATAATTAATTTTTTGAGATAATAAATAATGAAGCTTATATATGTACATATATTTATATTTATATTCTTATTTAAATACAATTTTTTATATTATTATTCTTATACAATATTTCTATTTTTCTAATTTATTATATATATATAATATATATATGATAATATCCCTATTAAATATTATTTAAAAATAGTTAAATTAGTTATATATATAATAAAAAAATTTATCTATTATTTTTTTTATAGATAGAAATATAATATTTTTTTATAAATAAAATAGATCAATTAGAATAATTCATAGAATAAAATAAAATAAAACAAAACAAAAAATTCGTTGACAATATATTAAATATCTCGAGTGCAAAATCAATATCCAGTTGACGTATGATTCAATGATCATAATGATAAAAAATTAAATAATAATATTACAAGAAATTGAAATATAAGAAAATTTAATTATCAAATTATGATGATAATTATTATTTGTATTGTATTGAAAGTATTTCTTATATTTTATATATAATATATAATTAAATATATAATTCAGAATTTATAAATTTTTCTTTTTTTAAAGTAACATAAACAAAATAAGAAAGAATTTAGAATTATTTCTATTTTAATTATATGAAAATTATATAATATAATTTTTTGTAATATATATAAAATTTAAAAAAATTATAATCTGTAAGCATACAAACTAGTAATAATATTAATATTTAGTAATATTTAATAATAAATAATTTTGTTTTCATCAGTTGGTACTTTTGAATTTTACATCGAAAGAGACGCTATATTCTATATCTCACTTCCCGATCTGTTTCGATCCGCCATTTTTTTACGTAGGAAAGCGTGTGGTTTGGCATTGTGTTTTGTCGAATTGCTTTACGGAAATACTGACTTGGTAAGTATTTTAATATTTTCTAAATATTTTACATGTAATTTCTTAAATGAAAAGCATCATATGAATGTAAAAATATCAGTTATACACTTGCATCAATGAGATTATGTAGTTATATTTCATAGCGTCGATACGCAGATATCCGAAACACGCCATTTCGCGTTTCTAGATTTCCAATAATAAATTCATTTTATAAAAATGTTTAATTTTTTTCAACTAAAAATAAAAAATAATTATTAGTTGATAGCATTGTGATGCATTTATTGTTAAAATATTTTTATATATCTTTGATAAATATTATAATACTTTGTCATGTTATATACATACATTGATATTGTACATGTGGTCATTGATTTAATAGAATTTAATTTTTATCACAATAATTTTCTATTCGCTTATTATTTTATATCAGTGCATAAAGATATACAACAAACATATGATATAGATTTATTTCGTAAATCAATTATATATTTTATGGCATAATATAGTTTATTGTTGCATTATTTTATATTTTTTTTGTAATAATTTTCTAAATATTTGTAATATTCTGAAAATATTAACACTGTAATAGACACATAACATAACCATAACAATATAATAGTTTACATATTGCAATTGTTGACTACTTTCAATTCGAGAGAATGTAAATCGTGATAATTACGTTTTAATGTTGCCGAACTATTTAAAAAAAAATAATATATATTATTATATAAATAATATATATTATACATTTCATTCCGTTCAATTTGCCAATAAATGTCATAATTTTTCAATAATGTGAACAAATATTAAAAAAATAAAAAATTTAATTGTTTCTATTTTATGAATGATAAAATATAATAACATTCATTACAATAATCATTAGAATAGAATAGAAATTCTCGCATACAATTTATTTGTAATATTTGAAAGTATGTTCATGATAAGTTTTTGGACACACTATTCTCACTGTTCGCTGTATTGCAATTGTCCGATAGGGGTCACTACATACTTCGATTCTCGCGCACCAGCGGACGCAGCAAGTGAGACGCCATTGTTAGATTGCGTTCTCTTGTGTAAAGTTGTGTGTCTAATATCAACGTTGGTTAAATTATTCGTTGAAAGTAGCACGCAATAATCTTCGGTGAGTGTGAAAAAAATATATAGTCTTTGAATATAAATTTATACACCGTATTTGAGTTGGTGATTATTATATTATTCACATTTCCTAGATTTGGTGCGCCATTTCAACAAGGTCGGTACGCTTTCTGTATTACGTATTTTATAACGTATTTAATAAGTACTTATTCTCTGCTTATATATTTCATATTATTCTATCATAAATAGAAATTAGAAAATTTGTGCTTTTTTATATTCGAAAATTTTGAAATTAATTCTATTCATTAAAATTTAAATATAAAAGTTCAGAATTAGTCAGAATTTATGACCTTCGAAATTCGAAATGCTAGATCGTTAGCAAAATGGTGGAAAAATGTGCGCTGTGAAGAGTATCTAAAACAATCGCGTCGTTATTAAGTAGATAAATTTTTATGATTTTTATTTGATTCTAAATAAAGTTATTTTTACTTAAATCAAAATAATATAAATATTATATTTTAATATATTTCAATTTAATATATAAAATAAATTATAAATATTAAATATAAATATTATTAAATATTTTAATATATCATTAATATATATCGATATTAATATAACAAAGTATATATATATTTTAATATATATATAATATATATTATATTTAATATGTATAATAATCATACTGATGATAATTAATTATTCATTGGAAATATGTTGTGCAATAATGTTAAGAAATAAAATTAGTTGTATTATAAATTATTACAAAAAGTAAAATGTTTAATTGTAAATAAGATGGATATAAATTCTTTATTTATTTTATTTTTTTTATTTCAGTATATATTTTTATGTTCGAAAAATTGTGTACACGCGCACACGCGCGCGCGCGCGCACACTCACATACACATATAATATTTTAAATGTTTTGTTTTTGAAATTAGGTTCTAAGACGAGCCGAAAATGCCGGGTTTTAGTAGTGTTGGCACATTCAAAATTTTCATCGGTAATTTAGCCGATAAAACAACAAATGCTGATATTAAACCGTTATTCGAAAAATATGGAAAGGTTGTAGAATGTGATGTGGTGAAAAATTACGGATTTGTGGTAAGTTTCCTTCATATCATATATCCTGAATTTTTGATATAATCATCTTTAGTTAGAGTTTTTTTTTTTTTATCTTTTTCCTTCTTTTTTTTCTTTTCTTTTCTTTTCTTTTCTTATAAATCTGTCGGATAATTGTATCTTGGTCCGAAAAATTTACAATTCTTTAATTCGATTATCGAAAAAAATATTTTATGATATAATTTTCAACAGCATATGGAAAACGAAGAAGCAGGAAGAAATGCAATACAAAATTTGAATGGACATATAGTTCATGGTCAGGAGATTAAATGTGAAGCTGCAAAGAGTCGTAAAGGACCTAACACACCTACAACAAAAATATTTGTTGGCAATCTCACAGATAATACAAAAGCGCCTCAAGTGCGCGAACTATTTGCCAAGTACGGTACTGTTGTAGAATGCGATATCGTGAGAAATTATGGATTCGTCCATCTAGAAGCAACAGGTGATGTCAACGATGCCATCAAGGAACTCAATGGAAGAATGGTGGATGGTCAAGCGATGAAGGTTCAAATTTCTACAAGCAGAGTACGACAAAGGCCAGGAATGGGAGATCCTGAACAGTGCTATCGATGCGGTCGCGGCGGCCATTGGTCCAAGGAGTGCCCGAAAGGAGGAATGGGAGGAGGACCAGATAGAAACGGATACAGAGACCGAATGTTTGGACGCGATCCGTATCCTCCACCGCCGCCACCACCGTTCCTTCGGGATCGGTTAATGGGTGGTGGCCGCTTTGGAGTAAGTTAATTTTTTTTTTTTTTTTTTAAGAAAATTTAATTTTCTTAATAATCATTAATATTAGAAACAATTTTAGTAAAAAGGGAAAGAAGACAAAACAAATAACGAAATAAATTTTAATTAAATAAATTTACAACTAATCATTCATGCCAATATGCTTTTTTGTATTTATTACAGGATTACGAAAGCTACTATGACAGGAGAGGCTTCGAGGACACCAGGGATCTCTACGAGAGGCGGTTTACGGGTATGACAGGGCCCTGTGACATGGGAAGTTCCATGTGCGGGCTTGACTTTCCACCAATGACAATGCCACCTCTACCCCCAAGACGAGACCCAATGCCTCCTATGCCTCCTCTAGGTATGGGATCCATGCGCGACACTGGCTTCTCCCGTGGTAACGAGTATGGCATGTTCAGCCGCCGATCGCCCCCTCCAAGTGGCAACAATGGCCGGTTCAGGTGAGTAGAGCCAATGCATTGACTGCCCATTCGTCCGACTTAACATTGTGAACGTTCCAGGCTGGATTAACAGCTCATGCGAATTGGGGTTCGGCTATCCGTCGACATTTAATAATTGTTTTTTATCGTGTTTTTTCTTTTCTCTTATACGTATATTCTCGATCTCATATGTCTTAAAAATTTATCTCTCTTAAATATACACACACACACATACATATATATATATATATATATATATATTATATATATATATATATATAAAATTCTCTCTAGATTACATCATAAATTCGGGTTTATTATTTCATTATTCGAAGTAAAAATCTTCATAAAAGGCTAAAATTTCCGTTTCCGTATTTGATCGTTAAGCCCTTAATTTTACATTATTACGTTTCTTTTCAGTTTCTTTCCATTTGTTTCAAGTACAATATAATACAATATGTATACAATCGTACATATGTATGCATGTATGCGACTCATATGCGCGTATAAGCATACATATTGTACATATTGTAATACATAATCATATTGTGTATATTACACATAATTTTTGTGTGTTGAATTGCACAGTTAAAACAATAAATCGATAATCCAATCCATGTAGAGTGTCGACCCGATGCCCACATGAGTGCAGAGTCTGTGTAATAAAATGCTAATATGTATCATGACGCTTGGACGTTTCTGTACATTCTAAATTTCAGTGCACCTCAGGCTGCGTACCATCTTTGTCCATGAATGCGGGCAACCCTAGAGAGACAGTCCCGGGCCAGCGGTCAAGTCGTGCAAGAGTAAGTCTTTGACCACTTTTGTTAGCGAGTAGTCACACCTCGTTCTTGTCGCTGGCGCGTTGTACATCAGCAGCTTCTATTTTCCTCGGTGCCAACAAAATCCGGGTCTCGACTGATCGTACCTTGAACATGTCGACTGCTCTTCTAGGGATGTCCCTGTTCATAGACTCTCTTGATCCATGGCGTTAACTGCGAGATTGGCCTGTATGTCTCTCATAAATCCTTTGTGTTTCAAGCGCTCCTTATTACGTACATCACTCAACCGGGAGTGGCGCGGAGGCCTGGGATGAAGAAACGTTCCTAAGGAATGCGAACTAGATTTCTTGATCGCACTACCGCGAGCCAGGATGCGATCCTACAATTCTAACAAACTCTCGTACGCTGTAGATAGAAAAGAAAAGAAAAGAAAAGAAAAGAAAAGAAAAGAAAAGAAAAGAGATGAGATGAAATGAAAAAAGGGCTGGCGCGATTTTCAGGAACGGCGCCTATCGATTATCTTTGAAATGTCTCGTAAGTAGAAACCAGCTTTCCAGACGCATTGGACAGTAAGTTTGTATATCGGCGTTTGTAATAGTTGTTAAGGCCAAATTCATAGATACGCTTCAGAAACATCTTATTATTTTGTGTATCAGTTTTAATGTATCTTTAATTCAAATAATGCTTTAAAGTTTTTCAATCGCAATTTTTGAGTAATCAATAAATAGATAATGTAATTCATGAAATGTATCTCGGAAAGATACAGCGTCAAAAATAATTTTGAATTATACAAACGATAAAAAAAGGAAAAAAGCAAGTATGATATGCATATAGTATTTCAATAGTTTTTTTTTCTCCCTTTTTGAAATATCATAGAAATGTCTGCAAATACATACTTTTCATGTAATTCGTTTTTACATTTATTATAGCAAAAAATTTGTTTCATTATTTATTATCTCTATAATTAGTACGATTATTTTAATTTTTTTTTTTCCTTTCTCTTTTTTTTTCTCACTGACTTTTATCATCGGTCGTAATTTTATTACGTTTCAATGTTATCGCGCAAGAAAAAAAAAAGAAATTTTTTTAGTTAATTTAAAAATACACGTGGAATTGAATGAATATATTGATTTATCCGTGGAAATTTCATGAAATCGGTCCCATGTATTATGATAATAATGCGAAGAAATGTATAAAAACTTATAAAAACGTGTATATACACATATTGACATGTTATAATCATTTTTGCATATATGCGTACGTATAAACATAAACTACATATGAACAAAAATACACATATATTCGTGCAGAGGGCGAGAAGATAAAAAGGAAAGTGAAAGGGGGAAGGGAAAGGGGAGAGAGAAAGAGAAAGAAAAAAGAGAAAAAAAGGAAAAATTTATTTCAAAATTATGATCCATACTTCTCGAAGCTGACTTCTACTCACGAGGTTCAAAGCTTTTCATGTATGTAAATCCATTCACAAACTTTCAAATAGAAAACAGAGTTGATTGAACTTTTCAATCTTTCTGAATACTTTGAATTTGTTGTTGCATGTAACCTTATTATCCTACATGATCCCAGCCTGGGCTGCAAATGGCTCGTTACGTTTTGATTATATAAACTGAAAATCGCATGGGTTAAAAATCCAGTCTAACGCTGCCTGCCTTATATGACTGGCCAAAAGAAGAAAAGAAAAAAAAATAATCCCATGTTCTTATCACTGCGAATTTTGTATTATGCATCCATTTATCAATTTGTTTTCTTTCTAGTAAATGTACCTCGTATATAAAATAAAACGGATAGAAATACTTGGTTATTGCTTGCATTTAGATATTCTGAATATAATTTAATAAAATTATAAGTACGTGTAGCGTACACATACAGAAACACATATACACGCACAACATATAAGAAAATAAATATAAATCGAATAAATGATTAATTGTTCGATTTTAAAGTGATAATTTTACCCTTTCGCATATTTGGTTAGCGTGTGAATGCACGTTATTTGCGCAGGTTTAATATGTATTTTTGAATATACATTTGCACAAATATTTTTCTAAACGAATTCATTCTTCGATACGATTTATGATTCATTCTCGCGATATATATTTCAATCAATTGTGTATTTAGATGTGAATTTCGATAGATAGGTAGTTAATTATAGATAGTAGTTGTATGATATTGTGCGCGAGCATATACGTTTCCATCTTTTCTATAAATATACTTTCTTCTCTTTTTACTTCCACCTATGATCGTATATATCATAATTGGTCGATAGTAGTGTCTTCATTTATTTTATATATATTATCTAAACGTAAAACTGCCTATAAAATAATTTTTTCCAAACTATTTTTGACCTTTTCTTTAACCATTCTTTACAGTCATATTAGGCAGCACGCGACTATTTTTCTTGCATTGTCATTATACAGGGACTAATTCACAAAGTTAAGCCTTGGACAAGGGAGCAAGTATGGTGTATATATTGATCTTTGATCATTCGTAGATTCGATTATTTATTATAACGCTGTTATAGTAGAGGCATGTACGAGGACTTCAGCCGAGATTCATTTGAAGAGCGTAGGTAAGTAGACGTGTCAATTCCGGTTAAAAATTGATTCACACTGAAATTGTGTGTCGAAACGTTTCCAAGTATTCGATATATGTGTATCTACATATACATATACACACATTATATGTATATATATGTATATGTATATATATATATTGTCATTTTAATTAACTCTCTGCTCTCTTCTTTGTTTATTGCGATCTATCGAATTGCCTTTTATATTGCCCTCTTATTATTAATTAATTATCGTTAAATTCGTAATTCATATCGAATTAAAATTTAATAATAAACTGTGAAAATGTGTAAGTTACGATCATATTATATGTTTATCATATCGATTTGTCTATTCAAGTAACAATGATTAAAAATGACAATTATGTTGGATAGTAAAAAGATACTAAAAGAGGCGAAAAAATGATGTGTACATTTTGCAAAGGAGAGACATATAGAGTGTGTGCTCATTAAAAAAAAAAGAATATATGTATATTTATTACATATGATTAATATATATATTATAATATATAATATATATATATATATATATTGTAATTTAAAAGTTTCAATAATTTTTGTTGGCAAAAAAATACGATATTAATACACGTTGCCAAGAATAATTAGCGAGAATAACGAGGAAGAACGTACTCATTGCGGTGTTTTCACCAAATATTTCCTTATAAGTGATAATTATCTTTTCCCGTATCTTTTAAAAAAACATTTAAATGTTTTCTATGTATCGGTACGTAGATTGTACGATTTGTTTATTTTTTTATAATATGACGTACCATGTCTATATGACCCTTGTCTACTTACCTATCCGCCCTTTTTTTGTATCTCACAAGTTGTTCCTCTCTTAGCTCGTGTGGTTTTTTTCCCCGATCTCTTTTTTATCGATCTCGTATAACTGACGTAGATTAATTTTGGTTACCAGACCGGGATTACGAGGGCCATCGCCGTCGCGCCGGTTCGCACCATACTAAATCGTCGCGTCGGGCTCGGATCGGTCTCTGTCGGTCTGTCTGTCTCTCTGTGTGTCGGGTCTGTCTGTCGCTAGCAGGAAGCCTCGGGACCGAGATACTCTTGGCCGTCTATGTCTGTCGATCTGCACGCGCGAAGATCCACCATTCGCCCGTTCTATCGGGAAAACATGTATTCTCCCCGTAATGCGCTATTTAGACGAGAATCCTTCGCCCATCCTTCTAAAAAGAATATGAAAGAAGAAGAAAAAAAAGAAACGGACAGATTAAATAGCAAACAAAATGAAAAATATTTTATCCAATTGCAGATTTCTTTTATAATTCTGTCACCTTTCCCTCTTTTGTTTTTTTTTTATTTTTATTTTTCTTTTCTTTTCTTTCCTTTTTTCCTTTCCTATTTCCTATTTCCTTATACATATAACGCACACACACACATACACATACATACACACACAATTCCTTTCGTATCTTCTGTTCCTTTATTCAATTAATTTTATATATTACATATTCAGCTTTCCATTCCGGTCCAAATTACTTACAATTAATCAAATATTATATCTGATAATTTAACGCGTATGTCCATTCGAAAGATTGTCAAATTTTCATCTTTTGATGTAAAAAAAAACTTTGTCGTAGCATCGTCCTGCCAAAAATTTTCAATTTGTATTTTCAATTCGTATTTATACTTTGTTAAATTAGTATTAAAATATTAGTATTATTTTATCATGATTAATTCTTCGTTCAAATTTAAGATTTCAAAGTATACAGGTAGGACGAAGCTTATAACGGTATACATACATAAATACATACGTGTTTATATGTATATACGTATGTGTGTGTATATATATATATGTATATATATATATATATATATATCTATCATACATACGTATGAATATGTACATATATACGTATGTATGTATATATGTATGTATGCATATGTATGTCGCGTCGTGTTCGATGACCGTTTCTGTGACGATGACGCGCACGTGAGCAGCGCGAATTTTTTTTTTCGATCGTAAATAAAACTTCCGTGCATGTACAGCAGACATTCAATTACTATCAGTGCGTTGAATAAAATTAAAAGTATGGAATGAAAGATCTGAGCAAGTATGGACAATATCGGATCTCTCTCTCTCTCTCTCTCTCTCTCTCTCTCTCTCTCTCTCTCTCTCCCCCGCTCCCCCCCCCCCTCTTTTCTCCTCTCCTCTCTCCACTCCCCCCTCTCTCTTTTCTCCTCTCCTCTCCGCTCCCCCCTCTCTTTTCTTCCCCTTCTCCTTTCTTTCCCTTCCTCTCTGCCCCCTCTCCTTCTCATCCCTCCCCTTTCCCCTCAACATAATTAATCGTGCGTTTTGCAACGTGTCGCAATCACAAAATCGGAGCATCGTCCGAACGTTCATTTGCAAATGTCTTTTATTCTTTTTTCCTTTTCTTTTTCCTATTTTCTCATATCATTTATATATAATATAAGAAACAATAAAAGATTATTGCGTTTAATTTACATTATGTGCGATATTTTTATCGCCTCGGATAATTCCCAGTTTATTATTCAGGCAAGAACGGAATTTCGTGTAAAATGCGTTACAACTAGCGGAACGGTTGTTCGATATAATGCGATGATAACGGTTGCCGTTTAAGATATTAAGGAACGTCGAAGATAATTAAACAAAATGTGCGTGCGTGTGTCACCGATACCGTGTAATATCCTTCCTAATCATAATGCTTTTTCGATACGAAATAATATATCGTATTTATGTAACTTTTCTTTCAAGAAACGAAAAAAATGCGTGCGGGTTCGACTATTCGAATCGTTTCCAGATTATCACACAAGTCTTAAAGATACGATTTCAGAGACCCAATAGACTCGTAGGATGCGTCGATTCTGTATGGGAATCCAAATCTCGGTCGTGCGAACATTATTATCATTAATCTGTAGTGACATAATATCGTTTTATTAACATATTTAGAATTAATACGTGAATAATTACCGAAGATTGATACGGCAATCGCAACAGCGCTCTGTGTAGCTTATAAATACGTACGTACGTATATACGTACATACATACATATATACATACATGCATACATACATACATACATGCACACGCGCACACACACATAAACACACACATACACACACAATACAAATACATACGTACCCGCGCGTGCGTATATATACACTTCATATATATATATATAGGTATATAGGTATATATATATATATATATATATATATATATATGTATATATGTATATGTATATATATATATATGTACCTATGAC